CGGCTATCGTTTCCAAATAGTTTATCAAAATCTTGCATTAACACTAACGTAATTCCTCTAATTAATTCCACTTTCATATCTCAAGTAGAAACGATCGATAGAAATATGTTTCATGAAAAGAATCCTTACGTTTGCAACCAAAATTTTAGTCATATTCTCCTTTTAGATTCCCCTAAAAATAACGAAGAGGAACGAACAGTGACAAAATAGAAAATAGGAAGATTGTCTGTAGAAAGCGATCGAATACTTAAAGCGTTGACTGTTACTACTGGCTGACTATAAATGGCGCGTTGCTACTTAACGTGAAGCTGTTTACCGTAACGTAGTAAAGTGCCCCTTCTCTGTTGTTATAAACTACGTGAAATATGGATCGTATCGCGGCGATTGCATCAGCGTGTATAGTAAGAAAGGAGCTAACCCCATTCCGGGAATATCTATGGCCCGAAGTGGGTACGAAGATCCTTTGACGATATGTATTTCGTATACATCGCATCGTTAAGCTTAAACGAATTTCCGTGATACATGACAGATTAGGTTAATTACCTTGCATGGTTTTCTCGCAATTATAAAGAGGAAGTTGAGTAAACGACCACTTTTCAAAACCACACAGTTATATGAAGGCATCACATTGAACAGGAAATGTGAGTTTTCCTTTTGTTTTGTCAGGAACTATCTTAACAAATGAATGGTTGCTTGGTTGATAATAATTACGCGAATCTTGTATGCTGATCTACTGAATCCAGAAATGTTAAGCGATAATTTTATGGTCGTAGTGTTTGTCTAGTATAATTATTATCGATAAAGAGGAAAATGGAAGTTCGACAAATCAGAAAATATTGTTAGGGAAATAGCACAGATCGGAATACGAAGTTAGTTTTTCAAAAGTTCTAATGGTGTGATGGTACGATTTGGTGTAAACGATTAGCTAGAAACATGGGATTGACTCGATTAAAATCATACACACTCTAGCGAATTCTTTTAACGGGAAAACTGACGAAAGTGAAACACGTTCATTACGGTGATTGTTTTCGACCATTTGAATCGATAGGACAAACTACGAGTTACCAATTAAACTTCCGACCAATATCCTGACAACACATTTTGCCGGACCTCTGTGCGCGGTGAGATTTTTTGTTTTGAATCTATACGTTTTTTAGCTTCTAAAATTTGAGCTTCAGAGATTGTAAACGTCACGCATTATTCAGGCGTACGAAATATCAACAAATGGAAAAATCCCTCTACTTTATTGTTTGCAACCCGATTCGTTTAATCCATTCGATCCGAGTTTTTCATTCGAAATAGTCCAAAATACACGATAATGGCTGGCATCATAGAAATTTCCACCCTTCGAACGTTGAGATATTAGAAAATTCTACCTCAGCTGAGGAAAAAAAGCTACCGCCTTGAAATGTTACAACTAGGGGACGCTTTGAGTGCAGCGTGCATGACCAGAGGGTCTTCCGAGTAACTGGATGACGGCAAAACCGCAAATCCGGGACTGGTCCCGCGTCAATTCATTCGCACCCCGTTGAAGAGGAAAAGCTGTCGTTGTAATGGTAAAAACGGATCTTTGTCAGACTGTTCCGTTTTCGTCCGTGCGGAGAATGTCGTCCATCTCGGCCACACCCCTCGAATGTCGCTCGTTTCGTTGAGAATTCGACCCGTCGGAAGTCCACGGGGATAAGAAGAAAGTCCCTCACCGTGGAGAGGCAGAGCGATTGACCCGAGAGGTTAGCGGAGTCGGGTGATTTTTTCACGGAGGATCAACTTGTCCGCCATATTAATGACCACGGTGCTCGGATTATCCGTCGAGGTTACCCAGCGGTCTTCCTCCGAGCTGAAGCCAACTTTCTTGGAAAATTGATTGCGCTTCCACGAATCTCTCTTCTCTACTCCCCCCCTCTCTCTTCCTCTTCTCTTTCGCTGTGTCTTTTTCTATCCACCTTTCTATAGGGAGAAAAAAAACACGGCTCGAGAAAGAAAGGAAAAAGGAAGAATGGAAGACGACGTCTAGGGAGAACGGTGACGCAGTCATCGTTGAAGATGCCGAACGGGAATTCCTTTTCCCCGACACGATCGAGGCTAATTATTTTCGCCGAGTAACTCCCTTTAATTGGTGTTTTCTTATCGACTGTCCCCGAAGCGTTCGAAACACGAATTTCCGTTGTAGTAATTCAGTTTCGCGACTCTCTTTTGGAACGTGAAATCCCTCCTACTCGATCCAGAGTGGAACTTTATTACGAATGTCTCTTTGTTTCCCTCTTTAAGCATATTCCGTAGATTTCGTTAAAGGAGATCGTTAAGACAAGGCCGGAGTTTCTTTAGTAGTCCAGGCCTGTGTTGTGCATCCGATGCACACGCCTCACACGCCGCACGTGATTATTAAGTAACCTTTGACTCGTAATGGGCAAAGCCTAATATTCAACACTGGTCTCAATTTTAGATACTTAAATATTGAATTTCTTATCCCAGACATAGATTTACGATAAAACGCTTTTTCTTAATTTGATTTACTTTTTATTAATAATTTATTAATATATTTATTAGTAATAAATAAAGTAATGTGTATGATACATATACATATATCGTTTTAATGAAATGAAATTAGATAACTATTGAAATTGAATTAATAAGATCTTTGTTCTCATTGAGAAATCTGTTGCTTGTCAATACTAGGTGTGATATTTCAGATTTATTTGGCAGTACGTATGTATGTAAGCAATTATTCTCGAAAATAGAAGTTTTAAAAACTGATTATCGTAATCGACTCGACGACGAACGATTAAAAAATTGTTTCAAAGTAGCAGTGTCGAATATCATACTCGATATTGACGAGCTCGTTAATGGGAAACAAAGTCTAGTATCTCATTAATTAAATTTCAACAGTTATTCAATTTCGTTTAATTAAAACAATATATGTACATATATCTGTTATGTATATATTAGTGTGTATATGTTATTAATAAAAACGAAATCAAATTTTTAAAAATTCTTCTATTATAAATCAATTAAGTAAGAACAGATCCATCCCATCAATTAAATTTTTCGATCAGTATTTTAAGCATTTACTATGGCGGCTCGCGTACAGTGTTAGGTTCTCAGTTTCGGTTCATTGCGAGTCAAAGGTTACTGAGCCTGGATCTTCAGTTAATCGCTCAGATATCGGGGACTTGTGGAGGAAAAATACTGCAGAGCTACTTTGATACTGATACTGAAACTGCTACTGAAACGCAGCGATTACTTGAAAAGCTGTTCACGTTCAAAACGCAAACGTTGAATAACGGGTCAGAGAGGATGATTCTCTTATTGCCAGGATCTATGTTTAGTATTGAATTCTCGTCGGTCGAATTAATACTCGTCGTCGTGAATCGGCTTTACATCCAGACAAATTCTCTGAAGAAATGAAAACAAAGGGATTGAAATTGAGCTTGTTCCCTGTAACGGTTTCCTAGCTGCAGATATTGAATGTAAGGATTCTTAAAGAGAAGCATTCACGGTTGAAGAAACGCAGATTTAATTGTTAAGAGAGTCTTATTGTAAATCCATCGGATTTTAAACAGATTCGACTCGTTAAAATTTGAATAACACACTAGCGATTATATTTCGCTACTCATTTGGAGTTCTTTACTGTCGTTTATTTAATTTGAAGTCAAGCTCTACAGTATTAACGTTTTTCTTGGATTTTGTTACGTTACCAATTTTCCGCCAACTTTGATGCTAATTTATTATATCAAACGTCGATTATTACGAATATGTGACAATTTAAATATTCACGTTGGTTGCATTTTAACGTCATAAATGCAACGAAATGGTTGGTAAAGGTAAAATGACATTGATAAAACTCGAAGTGATATTTCTCTCTACATTAGCTATCGATATGACAGAGTGATTGAACGCCATGGATGACGAGAGTGGAACACATTGTGATGGAAATCCCGTGTTGCGGGTAATCACGTGAATACGTAAAGCAAAAGTAGAACAGAACTTTATTATTTGATTAAATATCTATCGAGTAGAACTTTCGTTGAATTTCTACGTCGATAACGTTCGTTCGAACAATTTCCACGAATATTTCACAGATTTTCGTAAACGGAAATCTACTTTTGTATTTCCTTTGTTCGTAGCGTTACGCGAGGCTTCGGCCCATAACGCAAAATAACGGATCGAAATTTAAATTTCACTACTCAAATTTCTCCACTGCAATGTTATTGCGTTTCAGTGCATTATCATGAATAACGCGTCCAGAACGATTACACGTTCCAGAAATTTAAACCCAACGAAATTTGATTCTCCATCGGTATCTATTTATTTCACTGGATCTCGAGTAACGTTCATTGTATCATGATTTGTATTAAAGTTCAAAAAATATTATACTGTTAAAAATTTAACGTCAATCGTCAATTTTTTAGATTAACACTTTTTTTAATTCATCAAAAAATATAAAATAACATTAACGGAGAGTCGTTCAGTAGCGATCGTTCTAAGACATTTCGTTATTATCTAGGGCTAAAGTCGGTAGAAATTAAAATTTAGAAAGTAAATTTGTAGCTCAAATGAAACTTAATTAATTTAATGAATTTAATGCAAAGAAAATTGCAAAACTGGGGCTGGTCGTTATACTACTTAATAGATCTATATATATATCTATAGCATATATAATAGAACAAAATGATTTATCTACTTAAGAAACAGAATATCAGCTCTAAGAAGTAACTCTCAATACTCGGAATATTAAAATATACCTTTAGCGTGTCAGAACAGGGAAGGCAATCTAATAAACAATATGACTCCAAAATATGTTACACAAAATTGTTATATTCTTTTATTTATTCAAGCAAAAATGCTACTAAATGCTAAAATGAAAGAACTAATTTTAGTCGGTATTGTATATGCTGCTCTGTACTGCACGACTCTACTCTATATGATTCTTACTTCTTTCTTCGTCTCGCTATGCATTAAACGAAATACGACGATATGAATCAATCGCATTCTCGTTTCAGAACCCTGTGAAAAGACGTATTGTTCTTGGGGTGCGACGTGCGTTGTGTCGGAGAACGGGAAACCTTTGTGCCAGTGTCCAACAGATTGTCCTTCGACTTCTGAACCTGTCTGCGGCTCCGACAACATGACCTACACCAACTATTGCCATCTACGGAAGACCAGCTGCCTCGAGAGAAAAACTACACGGGTGAAGAATCAGGGCGCCTGTGGTGAGTACCATTCCCGTATATAGCCTTTTGTTTCGATGATCTTTGAAGTTTCCAAATAAACGGATAGAATATTGGGAAAAGTTCGATCGAAAGTAAAGAAATAAGGCGTCATACGACAGTTTATATATAATAACGTCTGAACTTAAGATCAAAGTACCGGTGACGATACCGTTAGAGATACGATCAAAGACTGCGCTATATATATTTATATTTATAAATAGATGATATTTATCATCTAATTGATATTATTGAATAGATTTTCTAGATTAAAACGAATTAATCAATTTTTCCTGTTTCTTTTGCTCCATATCTGAAAACAATTTCTAATCGAGAATCGACCAAGTTCATAAGATAATGCTAATTAAAAGCGATCTTTCTCTGCGACATCCTCGCTGCAAGTAAACTTGTTCGTTCTGAAAGAGACATCGAAGATTGTCGAGAGAAATGCGCGCGATTCTTCCGGAGGCGATAGAAATATGGTAAAACTAGCCCTTTCGTCTCTCCTCTCTTTCGACCTGTTTCTCTCGGTTGCAAAATGGAAGCTACAACAGGAATTCACGACTTTGCAAATATTTCCTGATGCGCTCGCGTGGCTGCATTCGATTCCCTAATGGCGTTCACGGCACTTCCGTGCGAAATTTCCACCGCGAGATTTCCGCGGAGATCTGTCGATGTAAAGCGGAAACTTATTCCGCGATATCCTGCAATAATGATAATGTCTCGATATCGTGGTGCTCTCTCGAGCGTCACGTCATATTAGTCGCGTTTGAATATCGTCAACGGTAAAAATAGGGACGCAGCTTCTCGATATGGTTACATCCTGGCTGCTTCGACATGTGTCACCACTAAAATGTTCGAAGAATCTAACCGAGGAGTTACATCTATCTGCCTAAAATCAGGATTGACATATGCCCATTTGTCGCGATAGTAATTCCGAAGGAACGCGTTCCATATATCTGTTATTCTCATTATGAAATGATAGATAAGTTCGTTTTGCGATAGTCAAATAATATTTTAATGCTTTCTCCGTTTCGTTTTATATCGCAATATTTTTCCATCGCTTAAGGCGATCGGCGTGGAATTTTACTTTTTACTTCTGATCGCACGATTGGCACTAGTATCGTTAACGACAGTACAGTGGAATGTTTAGAACGAGCGTGCAGTATTCTTAGAGTTCTGGAAATTGAGGTATAAAATGGTTTTCCAAGAATCCATCGACACGTGTCGCGAATTTTCTTAACAAACGAAACGGAAGAAGCGAACTCTTTCGACATGCTTTGCGTTGGTTCTTGTTTTCTCTGATCAGATGAAACTAATCATAGAATGATGTAATCACGCTTCAGGAAAGATAATTTTAGACGAGTCACTTACAAAATGAAACTTCAGGTTCTGTTTAATTATTGAACAATTTAAATTGACAATTCGCAGAGATGTTCCAGAAATTTGATTAACGGAATGCTAACAGCGACAAATTTAAGCCGCTTCGACGTTTAAGTAACATAAAATCGATTACAATACCATTTGCGAAACGATGTTATTTACATTTAATTGTTCCAGCTCGTTTGAAGAGCTTAAACTTCGGTAAACGCCAGGCGGATTAAATACTCCAATAGCCATTTGTTTAGACTTTAAAATTCTGAACAAGTCCCGCCGTTGGGGTACCCGCTGGCGATGGCGCGCCGTGAATCGAGGCAGCAGGATCAATTTTCACGATGTACAAACGGTAAATATAAAACGCGTGTACGGCAGGAGAGATGATCGGGAAAATTTGAAGGCGACCGGAGAGATGTAGAGCGGAGTGCGAGAAAAACAGAGCGCGCACACGCCTCGAAACGTATTTTATCACTATCGGATCTCTTTTTACCTCGGCCCGTCCGGCGGGATCTTGCCACCATGAATTAACCATCAGCCGATACCCGATTTTTGCTACGGTAGAAAGCTCGCCCCGGAGGTCGTCGCGCGCTGATTCTCAAAACGATCTTTTATTCAAACGAGCCTACACGCGCTTGTATCGACACGTACCACCCTCTTTCTTTCCCTCACTTTGCCTCCGGCCTTCTTCTTTCTCTCGTGCTTTCACCAAGGTTGGGAATAGGAGCACCGTGAAAATCTTAGGGCTTCTTACGAATGGAATGTATTACGTGAACTGAGAGAAGAACAGCTGATGAGCGGTGTTCATGAAAATTACTTGGATTTCTTCCAAGCTTCTGTAGTCGTTCGAATTGACGTGAAACCAGCTTCGTGGAAGGAAATCGAATGATTTGGTTATTTCCAACTTACTGGTACTATCTGCGTTCATTGTTTAAAAACCGTATCGCACCGATCTCGTTGAAACTGATAGGTTTTCGTTCTGAATAGTTCGTATAGATTCATATATGTATGTATTTTACGAAAGGTAATTTCGATAGAATAGGATAGAACTTCAAGGATCAAGAAATTTCTAATATTTTAAATGCAGCCTCGGTTCATCGACCGAACTTCCCTTTTATTGCTAGAATGGTTCGATGTTACAATTTAAGTTGCTCTTTTTGGAACTTAGTGATTAACTAATTTGTTCATTAAACGAATTTAACGCTTGACGTCCCATTAATTTCATCTGAATAAGAAATAATTTGATAATTTCTACTTCCTGTGGAGAATATAGATAAATTTATTAGCAAAAGCTTTATCTAGTTTCGCGAGTCAGCTAAAAGTTCAATCGAGTTAAGCTGTATAAGTTCTTCGTTACACAACTCATTCCTTATGTGTTACGAATACTCATTGTTAGAGTTGGAATAGTACGTTTCGTTATCGTCTAGTACTTTGTAATTGCGTATGGTTACTAAATAGCCTGTAGATTGTAACAAGATAATTTCTGATAAGCAGAGAGGAACCATATTGATTGGAAATAGAAGAATTCCGGAATAAAATAAAATTGATTACACCTTCATAATTTTACTTCTCGTTCCTCCTTAGATAGTTGAATTTTTCTATTACAATAATTAATATAAATTTAATATTATGCGAAACAATCTCGAACGAATAATTTTCACGGTGGCGCTCGTCACTCGTTGAAAGTCTATCGAAGTCTTTCGACAAACTTATGGCCCGCTCGTTCTTCATCTTTCTTCCTGCACTTTCAATTACCTTCAAACAAGCCAGGGATCCTGGAAAGTCTGGGAATGACACGCAAGGTCAGGACTCCTTGAGGTCTTGCGAAAATCCAAGTTTATGAAAGCACTTTACTAGACTGCGTTACGAAGAACCTCGTCGTTTTATCAAATTCTTCGTTTTATCGTAACGAGATTTATTTTCTCAAAACTTTTAAATTTTGTCGACGATCGATACGTTTCGTTAAAATTTGTTTTAAAATCGAGTGCCAGGGAAGCACGCAAACAACGATTCTATAAAACAAACTGATATTAAAAATTTGCTATTAAAAGTTTCAGTGTATGTATGAGAATTGCGATATGACTGAAACAAATATGAAACATACAAGGTACTGTTAATTTTTAACAACGCAAAACGCAAATGGTCAAACGAATTTCACTTTTCTTGTACTTTTAATTCTTTAAAATTTCTGAAAATTTAAGGGTATAATTTTGAATAACCAGGCAGCAGATACAAAGAATATTTTCTGTTACGAACTTCGAAATAACTATGTAGTAACTCTAATATCTATCTATCTTATATTCACTTGCATACATATATCATTGTTTCAAAATACAAAATTTAAGTTGCAAATGTTGATACTTTCTCAAACCGAGCCATCGATCAAGAGATAGAAAATAGTAGCAGAAAGAGTTTGAACGAAAAAACGAAACCATTATCGAACCAAGAAAAAAAATATAGCTCTCTCTTCGTAATTCTTTCTCTAAAATCGAATTCAAACTCGGACATTATCGTGTTAGCCATTTTCCTTATTCTTTCCTCTTACCCAGATACTCTTAGCTTTTTTCATTCTTATCTTATCAGCTGTAGTTCCGGTTCATTGCAAGCTCATGCTGCGAGCGACTTATAAGACGGTAGAGCTTCCATGTTATTAAACAAAATTGTCGCAGCAACGAGGACCATGCAGCGGGTTTAACATGGGCCTGTATCGTCCAAGTCAGGAGCTTTTTAAATTTTTATCGTCTCGTAACCGCGAGATTCATCGTGGATACTTGGACCGATCATTTTTAGATCTTACCTGTACAAGCTGAAAACGTCATCAACAAAACTACCTGATGCAGCATTTAATTAGAAATATTATAGACGATGATGCAAATGAATAAAACTTAGCATAACATTCTATCATATAATTACAAATGTATTTTCCCCGAAACGTAGACGAAGTACTTGTTCGCGTGAACCAACGTCTTTCTAACAGGTTTCCCATGTGCACGTAAATTATTATGCGAGCAAACAATGCTGTACGCGCGTAACAGCATCGTGTAAAATAGCCGAGTGTCCCTGGTGGTTTCTTCGGTCGAGTTTTCCTTCTGATGTTCTCCTTCTGCCCACTTTTCAGCAGCTCTTCCATCCTTCACGTACTCCTCGTATTACTTAAAACATCTACTCCACGTACATACATATTCGCAAGCTCGGTCGCGTTCAACACCGTAGTTTCTCATTTTTATTTTTCACCGCGTACTTTCAATTTCTACTCCTTCTCCTAGATACTCTTTTTATTTCAATCTCCATAGCTGCTTATGTAAGGCTACTACGACTCGTTGTACAGGATTTCGTCGCGATAGATAGTCGCATATTAATTCGTTTTTAAAGTTTGAAAACCGACACGATTAATTATTTATTCGAATATATGTCTTACGAATTACGAAGTTGAGATATCTGTCGCATTTTTCCCAACTGCTCTTACGCTTATCTGTCTCTTGTTCGATTATTGTACACTTAGAGGACGTTAAAACACCACTTAGTAACGTTCGCGTTATCTTTGGACGATCGGTGACGATTTCACACGGAATTCCAGACGAGTTCGCTGGAATAAAACGGATAAACGAAACAGTCGGATAGATAAGAGA